AGAGACATGGTGGATTCTTTCTTTGTGTGTGACCCTTAGAGAGCCGAAATATTGGTTAGAAATTCTTGTTACAGTATTTCCCTGAACTTTTCTTGGAATTTTGTCATTCCTTTGAACTTGTCTATGTGAAGATATGGATACCTTGTAGTTGTCTGAATCCTGTTTTGTGTTGATGCAGTGATGAAGATACAGATCTTAATTCTCTGATAAAGTCTTGGCTAAGAAGTCAGCCTGAAGAATGCAGATACAACCTTGAAAATTGGATTGGGGACTATTTTGAAAGGGCTTTAAACTGGGTTGTGAAGAAGGTTAGTAAATGAATACTTAATCAAATTTCAGCTTCTGTTAAGGATAATACTTTTTCTAGTTGAACACTGAGGAGAACATTTATGTTAATTTTTAAAATGTTAAGTAAAAAAAAACTTCAGTGCTTTTTTGATAGCTGTTTATCAAATTAATGCTGGAATTATTCTAATCAATTTCCAAAAACTGATAGCTGTACTTAGTTTCAGTACATTTAATACAATTTTAACTAATGAATTGCATGCATTTCTGTAGAACTTAGTATCTGTCTTCATGTGGTGGGGTGATGCTGGCTAGATGCCAGCTGCCCACCAAAGCCACTTTGTCACTCCACTCTTCAGCTGGGCAGGGAAGAGAAAATATGACACAAAAGGCTCATGAGTTGTTATAAAGACAGGGAGGGATCATTCACCAATTACTGTCACAGACAAAACAGACAACTTAGAGAAATTAGTTTAATTTATTACTGAGCAAATTAGAGTAGAGTAATGAGAAATAAAAAATACATCGTAAAACATCTTTCCCCAAATCCTCCCTTCTTCCCAGCCTCAGCGTAAATGAATACTTAATCAAATTTCAGCTTCTGTTAAGGATAATACTTTTTCTAGTTGAACACTGAGGAGAACATTTATGTTAATTTTTAAAATGTTAAGTAAAAAAAAACTTCAGTGCTTTTTTGATAGCTGTTTATCAGATTAATGCTGGAATTATTCCAATCAATTTCCAAAAACTGATAGCTGTACTTAGTTTCAGTACATTTAATACAATTTTAACTAATGAATTGCATGCATTTCTGTAGAACTTAGTATCTGTCTTCATGTGGTGGGGTGATGCTGGCTAGATGCCAGCTGCCCACCAAAGCCACTTTGTCACTCCACTCTTCAGCTGGGCAGGGAAGAGAAAATATGACACAAAAGGCTCATGAGTTGTTATAAAGACACGGAGGGATCATTCACCAATTACTGTCACAGACAAAACAGACAACTTAGAGAAATTAGTTTAATTTATTACTGAGCAAATTAGAGTAGAGTAATGAGAAATAAAAAATACATCGTAAAACATCTTTCCCCAAATCCTCCCTTCTCCCCAGCCTCAGCTTTGCTCCTGAATTCTCTACTTCCTACCCTCAAGCAGCTCAGTGGGACAGGGAAGGGGGATTGGGGTCAGGTTCATCACACATTGTCTCTGCCTCTCCTTCCTCCTCAAGGGGAGGACTCCTCACACCCTGCCCCTGCTCCAGCGTGGGGTCTCTCCCATGGGAGACAGTCCTCCATGAATTTCTTCAGCGTGGGTCCTTTGCACTGGCTGCAGTTATTCATCATTTGCTCCAGTGTGGGCCTCCCCCACAAGATGCTGTCCTTCAGGAGCAGCCTGCTCCAGCCTGGGGCCTGCTGG